GGGGGGAGACTGTGGGCACCTAGGAGTAGGGGATCTAGAGCAGGCCGAGGTCACAGTCCCAGGTCAGTCGTTCCTGGGTGCGTGACCTTGGGCAGGTAAGAAGCAAGAGAAGCCCCGGTCTCGCTATCTGTACAACGGGGACAGAAACGGTGCTTCCTGCATTGGGTGAGTGTGAGGGGCAGACAAGAGGCTGAACGTGAACTGCTCGGCATGTGGTCACCATTCATTAATAAGGGTCGGTCGGTTAGTTCTTCTGTGATCTTCACTTTGCAGAAGGGGAAACAGAGAGATTGAGGAATGTGCCAAATTTACTAGTAAATCACAGGAACAGGGATTCGAACCCGGATCCATTTGACTCGAGAGCCTGTGTTTCAAACCTGGGGTTGGCAAACTAGGGCCCACTAGCCAAATCTGGCCTGCTGTCTGTGCTTTGCGAATAAAGTTTTATTGGCATACCTCCTTGCTCACTGTTTGTAGATTGCCTAGGACTTCTCCCGCACTATGATGGCAGACCTAAGCAGTCACGATAGAACAGTGTGACCTGCAAAACTGAAAATATATACTATCTGGCTCTTTCTGCAAAAAGTTTGCTGACCCCAATCTAAACCATTTGTGTGAGCAAATGGTTGTATGTTGTTACATGTTGTTACCTACGTGTTGTTAACCGTTCGTGATAAAAAAGTATTAGCTCGATGAAAGAACCTAGAATTTCTTACTAGTGAAAGAGTGTCCTCAACAAGTCAGGATGTGTGAGAAGGAGTTCAACTAATGAATTTTGACACACGTATTTCGAGAAAGGGTGGGGGTGATGGGGTCGTATGGTGTGGGGAAGGTTCATTTAAAATTGGGACCCCTGGAGTTAAGTCTGCAACAGGACTTTCAGATGAGTCCCTTGGGTCAAGGAGATCGACTAAGTGTCTGGGGAATGATGACCCTCAGCAGGATAGTAATGACCATGAGCAAGGGTGCTGTCTGGGCAGGCACCTGACCGTGCTCTCTGCTCCTCGTGGGCTGGTGTGTGCCGAGGTTTGTTCTGTTTAAAGGGGGTTTGAAGCCAGCCGTTGAAACCCTGTCTGCATCAGGACTGAGGTTATAAATGCGCGTCGGGGAGGCTGGTACCCAAGTTGGTGTTGAACATGGTAGGGCGGAAATACCGTATACCCACAGTGGAAAAAGTCAACCCCAAATTAAAAGTGAAATAAGACATTTGGAAAGGGAGAGGGTAATCAGGGAGGAGCGAGGAAGCAGGGGGAGAGCTCTGTGAGGCTTTTGCAGAGTTCCAGCTCTTTCTGGTTTTATCTTCCTCTCTCTCGAATGACACACTGGCTTTTTCTACGTCTAATTGACCTTCGAAATGGACTCATCTGGATTTAAGGCTATTAATACTGCCTTACGTACAATTTTGGTCAGATGGTTCTTCCCTTTTTAGTCTTTCTAGTCCTTTTTTTTTTTTTTTTTTTTCATAAAAGGCAGAAAGGCAGAGAAAGGGGCAAACAAAAAAAGAGGTAGAAGGAGGAGAGAGATTTCTTGAAATAACCGGGCATGAATCAGAGGCTTAACGAGGCAGAGAGGTCTGCAGAGCTGACGTGTGACAGAGAGGGATGGTCCGAGCTGGAAGTCAGAACTGGCAGGTGCAATCTGCCTCGGGGGGAAGAGCTGGGGTCCAGCAGATCTGGGGCGGCTGTCTCGAGGTGGGTGGGAGCAGGCAGGGGCAGCCTGTAGTGGTTATCACCCATGGCTGCATTCTGGAACCACCCAGGAGCACTTTGAAATCCGAGTGCATGAGCCACACCCTCGCCTCAATTAGATCAGAGCCTGGGGATGGGGGTGGGGGAGAGGTGCAAAGCGCTGGCACTTTTTAATCTAACTGACAAAAGCACAGCCAAAGTCAAGAGCCACTGATCTAGGATGATGGCAGTGAAGTAAATTCATGGCCGTCCCTGAACATCAAAAAGGGCTGAATATAGGCCAAAGATGAGAATCGACTCATTAAATGCAGTTTCCTGGACTTCTCCAGAGATTCTGATTTAGTGGGTCTGGGCTGGGGCCCGAGAATCTGTATTTTTAACACGCGTCCAGTTGGTTCTTATCGGGCAACTCTGGGAAAACCTTCCTCTAAGACTTTGCTGCTGAAAAGGTAGTCTAAAGACCCGTGCTCTCAGCACCAGCTGGGAGCTTGTTGGAAGTGCAGAATGCCAGTTTCTGCCCCAGACCTGCTGAGTCAGAATCTGCGTTTTAAAGCCTCCCCAGGTGCTTCGTGGGCACCTTTAAGTTTGAGAGGTGCTGCTGTAAAGTATCTCCTAGCTGGCTTGGGTTTTAGAAAAGTAAGTAGCCATTTTGTCCATTTGTTTCCTATGATATGTACATGAGAGCGGAAGACAGAAATAATATGAAGTCGGTCCCGCACGCCCTTAGAAGCGGTCCGTCACTTACAAACCAGGACCTGTAACGGTGACCTGAACTTGTTAAGTCAACTGCAATATCTAAGCAAATAAGCTACCGTTTCCAGGAATTTCAGTAACCTCGATGTTTCAAGCCAATTTCGCTGTGAGTTTTAGAACTCAAGCTTCATGTTAATTCCTCCAACATTACTCACTCATTTAATTAATTTAGTTCCATAGCACTGAACAAGGAGTTGTTGAGATTTCGCCCTCTAAGAACATGCCCTCGGAAAAGGCCACTCCATCACTTTCCAGGAGTAAAGACAATGACAGGGACCGCCTTACCTCCTTCTCTTCCAACAGCTGCTTGATTCTGTCTCTCAGCTTCTCCTCTTGCTGGAGCCTATCCTCATTCAGCTTCTCCTTCTCTGCCAGATGCTCCTGCAGCTTCTCTTGCATGAAAGACTGCTGAGCTTCCTGAGAGCTGTGGATCTTGATCTGAAACGAGAGGAAAGGAAACTGAAGCTGATGGGGGGCGGGGAGCGGGGGAGGGAGACAAGACTAATTAAAGGAGTCATTTCAACTTGTTTTCTTTTTATAAGTTCTTTACCTCCGGGGGACAGGACAAAGGTTTACATGAAACTTTCTTAATGCTTAGCCTACTTGCCAGTAGTGAGGCAGTTGAGTTCAGTGGTTAAGAACTCAGACTCTGGATCTGGATAGAATCTCAGCTCTGGTTCCTTCTATGTGCTTCTCCATTTAGAAAATGAGGTTAGTAATAATATCTACCTCTTAGAGTAAAGATTAAGTGAGATCGTGGGGTGCCTGGGTGGCTCAGTCAGTTAAGTGTCCGACTTTGGCTCAGGTCATGATCTCACTAGTTGGTGAGTTCGAGCCCCGCGTCGGGCTCTGTGCTGACAGCTCGGAGCCTGGAGCCTGCTTCCGATTCTGTGTCTCCCTCTCTCTCTCACTGTCTCTGTCTCTCTCTCTCAAAAATAAATAAACAACTAAACAATTAAAAAAGAAAGATTAAGGGAGATTGTGATGGAAAGCTTTCAACACAGTGCTTAGCACATAGTAGGTGCTTAGTAAATGGCAGCTAGAATTATTAGTTATTATTAGCTGAGTGGAAGAGAAAAAGCAGTTAGTTAGGGTCAGAAGGCCTGAAGTTTTGTCTTGATTCTTCCATCAGCTAGCTGTATGACACTGAAACAGTCACCTAGCCTCTGAGGCTTCATGTCCAGACCTGTAAAATAAGGAGAATGGACTAGATCATGGACTGACAAAGTACTATCTACAGGCCAGATCTGGTCCCCTCCCAACGTTTATAAATAAAGTTTTATGGGAACAGAGCCATGCCCATCGTGCTCATTCATTTACATACTGTCTGTCTATGGCTGCCTTTACAGCAGCAGAGTTAAGTAGGTGTGACAGAGACTTTATGGCCTAAACTATTTACCACCTGGCCCTTTGCTTTAGATGAAGTTTGTTGACCCCTGGACTAGATGGTCTGTGGGGTTGATTGCAATGGTTGTCCCAATACCTTCCCTTCCCTCTATCCATATGTCTTTGGCTATGTACCTTTTTTAATTTATTTTTTTAAAATATTTATGTTTGAGAGACAGACAGAGATAGACAAAGGGCAAGTGGGGGAGGGCAGAGAGAGAGGGAGACACAGAATCTGAAGCAGAATCCAGGCTCCGAGCTGTCTGCACAGAGCCCGATGGGGGCTCGAACTCACGAATCATGAAATCGTGACCTGACCCGAAGTCAGATGCTTACCCGACGGAGCCAGCCAGGCGCCCCTCTGGCCATGTGCCTTGCAGTGCCCACCCATATCCTGCCCTGACACTGAATTCAGCCATGTGACCTGCTTTGGCCAATGGGATGTTAGCAGACGTATCCCGGCAGAGAACTGAAAAGCATTCTACGATTGATCGGGCTGCTTTCCCTTGTACTTCTGCATCGCCATGGGAACGTTCCCAGGCTAGCCTGATGGAGGATGACAGACAGATGGAGGAGAGTAGAGGTGTTCCAGCTGAGGCCAGCCTCGAGGGCCAGCCAACACCCAGATACTTGGGCAAGCCCGTCCAAGACTGGTGCACCCACCTAGCGGCTGACCCTAGACACGTGAGCCACGAACAGTAATTGTGGAATGCCACTGAAGTTTTGCGGGTGTTCATTACACAGCATTGTATGTCAGTAGCTACGAGAGTGGTCCGATCCCTAACCATCAACTGCCTCTCAAATGTTCACGTTACGCAACTGTTGCTAATTCGTCTCCCTGTACTGTTGCTAGTTGTGTTGTTCCACTGCATTCAATAAGCACAATTTTCAACATGTGGTGGTATTTATCTCTTAATTAAAAAAAATTTTTTAATTAATTTCGAAAGAGAGAGAGAGAGAGAATGAGTGAACGAATCCCAAGCGGGTTCCATCCCACCAACCATGAGATCGTGACCTGAGCTGCAATCAAGAGTTGGATGCTTGGGGCGCCTGGGTGGCTCAGTCGGTTGGGCGACCGACTTCGGCTCAGGTCACGATCTCGCAGTCTGTGAGATCGAGCCCCACGTCGGGCTCTGTGCTGACGGCTCGGAGCCTGGGGCCTACTTCAGATTCTGTGTTTCCCCCTCTGTCTACCCCTCCCCTGCTCACGCCCTGTGTCTGTCTCTCAATAATAAATGAACGTTAAAAAAATTAAAAAAAAAAAAAAAAGACTTGGATGCTTAACCAACTGAGCCACCCGGGTGCCCCAAGATGTGACGGCATTTAAATCTTTCTGATAATTCTGACAGAAGGAAACACGCATCCTGTCCTTGCCCTTGCCCTCCTGGGAGATCTTAGCCACCCTGTCTGAATCTTTTTGTGTCAAACAGAGATACCATGTCACCTCTTGGGGAAGGTGGACTGACTGGTTAACAGAGAAAAAACAGTGCACAGTGCTATATAGATGCCGAGGAGGAGCTGAAATGAACTTTCAAAGTTAAACTATTACCTGAAGTTCCTGGCTTTGGTTTGTAATTTTCTTGTAATGTATCAGAAGATATTCCAAATACAGAGACAATCCTTGAAAAAAGAAGCAAAGAGAAGTATTAATTCATTTCGCCTCCTCTGCTTTCCGAATAACGTAGTAACAGAGCTTGCGCACAGGTGGATGAGGGCAACGCTGTCCTCCCACCAGGAAGACCTTAGTCTCCGTCCGATGTGTGGTTTTAAAATGGTTGGCCAGTCTTGGCTGGGCTCAAATCGAGTTTCTTGTTGAAGGTGGAAAGTAAAACCCATCCGCAGAGCACCTACTGACTGTGTCCACTGGGTGCAAAGCCCCGAGCCGAGTGTGGGGATGCTACGAAGCCATTCGTCAAGGTTCAGTCTGAGAGACGGGGTCTGACTGCCTGATAGGAAACATGCCGCGGCTCCAGCTGGCACCTAAGTGACTACTGACAGAGTGGGGGAGTGTGAGAGCCTCAGAGGAGGGGAGATCATTCACCCAGAGTGATCACAGGAGGCTACCGGGCCAAGGAGCCACCGGGTGTGGGCACTGCTGGGTAGGCAGCATTCAGAGTTGGCGGGGAGGGCATTTCTGAATGGACGATGTGGAAATGGCAGGCTACGTGCTGACGGTCCTCAAAGATAACCGGGTCCCGATCTCTGGGAGCCTGTGCATGCTTCCTTACGGGGCAGGAGGAACTTGGCAGATGTCATCAAGTTAAGGTTCTTGAGATGGGGGGGGGGTGGATTATCCTGGACTACTGGGTGGACCCAATAAAATCACACGGGAAGACCAGAGGACGGGCGATGGGACAGGAGCAGAGACCGGAAGATGCTTCACTGCTGCCTCTGAAGATGGAGGGAAGGCAAAGAAATGGGTCCTTTCCTAGAGCCTTCGGAAGGACCCGGTCCCTCTGACACCCTGACTCGAGCCCAGGGAAGCCGATTTCAGGCTTTAGGCTTCAGGCTGCGCGAGAACACGTATGTGCTGTGTTGAGGTGCTGCGTTGGTGGTATTTGTTACAGCAGCCATAGGAAACTAATGTGGGGGTGAAGGCAGGTGGGGGGTCGGGGAAGGGAGTGCACAGCCCTCGAGGGCGCTGAGCTTAACTGGGCTGCTCGGATGCCGCCAGCAGGGAAGCAGAAGGTGGAGCTGGGGGGAAGGCTGGGGTCGAGTGGTGGCCGGTTCCGGAACAGTAGCCACAGTGTGTGAACTGGCTCGAAACGTCACTGACGTGTACAGAGTAGGTCCCGTGTGCCCGGCCCTCTGCCAAGCAATCAGTGCGTCACCGCGCTGTGTCACCGGATCGTCACCCCGTGTGACAGGGGAGGCAGCCGGGCCCCGAGACGTGCGGCTGCCGAGTGCCGCAAGGCTGGCAAACAGCTGAGCCGGGCCTTGGGCTCGAGTCAGTGGGACCCTAGCATCCGTGTCACTGCTGCTTCAGTTGCCGATGGAGCAGTGAACTAACTGCCTTGACGAGGAGTGTTTTCTTGTTTTGCTCCTTTTGTCTTTTCAGAAAAATAGCTGAGGCGAATTAGAGGCGGAGGAACTAGCAGGTTTCCTGATGGCAGCACCGTGGATAGGCTGGGCTAGACAAATTCTCTGCTGTGGGGGCTGTTCTGGGCACTGCAGGACGCCAGGAGCGCCACCCCCCGTCCTGGGCGTGACAACCGAAATGTCTCCGGACATTGCCGGATGTCTCCTGGCGGCCGAATCCCTTCCTGAGAGTTAGAGGCTGGGAGCCCATGGACGTCCAGGTCTTTAGGGCCGATGTTCTAAACTAGGGTGGGAGAAGGGAGAGATGGGGATAAGAAAAAGAGAGAGAGAGAAAAATCTCCTCTTAGGGGTAGAACGGTGGCCCCATTGTCAGACAGAGAAGACAGGTGAGGGTGGTGTAAGGGCTGGTGAGGAGGCAGGAGCTACAAGCTCGGTGTCAGACGTGTTGAATTTGAGGGACCAGAAGGACTCTAAGGAGAGGTGGTTGGACGAAAGCAGGACCACCCCGGCCCAGTCCACCCAAGGTCTTCATGAGATTGAGAGAGCACCCTTCCTCCTGGTGGCCACGGCCCCTGCCAGGGGTCCCACCTGCTGCCTTATGTGGTGCCCAACCTGTACTTCCATTCTTGGTGGCACGGCGCGTAGAGATGTGCACGTGGCCATCGCTGCCACGGGAGTGGTTGTGGAAGTGCCTGGGTGGAGACTGTCTTCATAAGAAAGGAAATGAGAAAGGGGAGGGCCAAGGACTCCACTGGAGGAAACACTCAGGGGAACAGGGGAAAGGGGCTGCTGAAAACAAACGAAGAAGGTCAAGAGACAGGCAGGGTGCACCAGGCCCGGGGGAGCCAAGGGCTGAGCGTGTTTCCTGGAAGAGATCCGAGAGCGCCGGGGGAGCCGGAGAGAATGCAGGCTGGGGAAAGATGGCGGGTCTGCCAGTCCAGGCGGGGCTCCATGTCAGGGGTAAAGCAGGCAGGCAGAGCCAGAGTAGGAAACTTGCAATGAAGACGGAGGGCGTAACACACTTCTGCAAGAGCCAAGGTGGGATGGGAGTGCCAGGAACAGAAAAAGAGCTAAAGAAGCAGCGGGTTCCAGGGAACGACTGCCATCTTGAAACGCATGTTTGATGGCAAGAGAAGGATTAAGAGGAAGAGGAAAGCGGTCGATGCCAGAGAAGGAAGCTGTAATTCCAGACCTTGTGCACGGCTTCCCCTGGGAGGGACAGAGAATGGGAGACCCAGGGAGGGAAGAGCTGCATCTGGAGAAAGCAGTGAGACTATAGCGGGAATTTGGAGGGGGAAGGGAGAAAAGGTAGGGGGAGAGAGAGAGAGAGAGAGAGAGAGAGAGAGAGAGAGAGAAAGGAAGGGAGTTGCACATGTTCATGCCTGGGGCCTTGATCTCTGGCAGTGCAACTTTCTGAGAATTTCCAGCCTGCAAGAGTAGAACAGTAATATTATAATAATAGCTATCAAGTATTAAGTACCTGCTGTGTGCCAGGCACCACGCCAGGAGTTTTACGCGTGGTATTTTCTATAGCCATGATAAACAGCCCAGCAAGGAAATGTGTTTGCCCTTGTACGTGAAGCAGCAGAAATTCAGCCAGGTTGAGCTACCGAGCTGGGAAGTGGTAGGCGCAGAATCTAGCCCCGGGTCTGTCATCCTCTTTTAAGCGACGGGAGAAGTGCTCTGTGAGGACATCAAGACGGCAGGGAAGGCAAGATGGCCTGGGTACTGTTGGCAACAGCTATAGGAGCAAATGGATTTGGGGTGGCTCAGTTGGGGTACAACCCGTGACTCAAGAACCCAAGGGGAGGGATCAAAGCAGGAGTGGGATCCAGAGAGGATTAGGGAGAGGAAGGACTCAAGGATGTCGAAGAAGAGGGAGTGTGTGGTCGTGCGTCTGGGTTCCATGATGAGCCGTAGTCATTATGGGGTTTCTCTCTTTTTGAGAAGAGGCCATTCTTCATCATATTTCTGGTTACAAAAGTTGTATGTGTCTATTACACAAACCCAAACATTACAGACATCCATAACGTGGAGACTGTTCCCTGCTCTAGCCTCCCTGGCTGGCACACCGTAGGCCTGCAATCAACAGTTGGTGAATGACCAAGTGAAGGTGAAGGTCCTACACAGTCCCACCATGCTGGGAAAATACTCCCAACACTTGTGTGTCTTTTTCTTCGGACTTTTCTTTTGATTCCGTACCGATACTTAAAAACGGGAGCACGGTGCATATTGTATTACAACTTGGCTTTTTTCTTTTTTTTTTTTTTTTTTTTTTTTAATTTTTTTTTTTTCAACGTTTATTTATTTTTGGGACAGAGAGAGACAGAGCATGAACGGGGGAGGGGCAGAGAGAGAGGGAGACACAGAATCGGAAACAGACTCCAGGCTCTGAGCCATCAGCCCAGAGCCCGACGCGGGGCTCGAACTCACGGAGTGCGAGATCGTGACCTGGCTGAAGTCGGACGCTTAACCGACTGCGCCACCCAGGCGCCCCATAACTTGGCTTTTTTCATGTAAAAATGCTGCATATTTTGGATAGCTGAGAAAGAGTGATTTTTTATGGATGCAGGGAAGCCTTTTATCTGTAACAAAGTCTTGCAGAAATAGACACAAACAACTGACCTTGCGGGAAAAATGAAGAGTTCTTTCTTTTCCTTTATCAAAAGAAGCCGAGAAACCAGGCAGGAGGAGTGGGGGCTAACTTTCAAGGTCCCTCTTGAGACGTTTTGCATCTTCCAGGATGGACCACACAGCAAATCCCTGACCGGTCACATCTTTAGTGGCAACACCAACCTTCTGAGCCACTTAGGACAGCGGCCGCAATACTCCAAGTCGAGTCTCCCTTAACATTAGTCGACCTGCCTTCTCCCGGGGGATTCATTTCAGGGTTTATAGACCCAGTCTGTTAGGTGAACTCTATCTCTTAGGACAGTATTGGAAAAGGCAGGTAGCGTGGTGGTTAAGAGTAGGGACTGGGAGGTCAGAGGGATCTGTACCGAATCCCACCTCTACCAGCTGGCTGTTGAGACACTGAGCCCATGGTCATGACTCTGGGAAGGAGGCCTGGGAAGGGCTCTTGTGGGTTCAACCCAACTGAGTGCTCGTGGCTCGGAAAATCCCAGTTGCTGCCAAATGGAGATGGGCGAGAGGCTGCCGGCCAGGTTACCTTGGTGCGAATAAATCAAGCTGGAGAGCCCGTGCGTAGACCTATCTGACCCACATTTAGGTCAAATTAGGTCCACAGGTATTTCAGGCTGGTGACAATGGCAGCTCTCGTTTATTAAGTCTTACCGCGTGGCCCAGGCTCCATGATCGGCACCTGCATCTCAGCATTTTAATCCTCACAACATCTCTATGGGACTTTAATCCCATTTTACGAACAGGTAAACAGGGGCACACGGAAGCCGAGCAACCTTCTCACACAACTAGTAAGCGCACAGCTGAGATTCAGACTTGGCAGCTGGTCTCCGAAGCCCGGGCTCAGAAACGTTCTGCTGTGTCGTGCAAATGGAGTCTTCCTTGGGCCTGGCTCGTGGTGCACATCAGAGAGGGCAGCTCACCTTGGGGGGCGAGAACTCTTAGCTCTGTCTCTGCCCAAGCTGATGACAGAATCTGTCCTCTAGGAACTGGGTGTGTACCTGGTACCTCTCTGGATCTTCAGAGAGAGCGTGGGGTCACAGACAAACACACACGCATTAGGATCACAACGGCCTGTTTGAACCCTGACCTTCCCATGTGGCAGTTGTGTGACCTTGAACAAGTTTCTGAACGTCGCTGAGACTTGCTTTCCTTACCTGAAAAACAAAGACAATAATAGTACCTCGCTCGCTAGGATACGGGAGGATAAAAAGACACAACGCAACACATATAAAACACCTAACATGGGGATAAGTTCTCAGCAGCAGCTAAATAAACCATGGTTCCTACCCTTTTCTCGGGAACTGGGAACACAGAAGGCCTTTAGGAGTGTTTGTGGATGGCGGTGAATGACCGGGGACCCCCTGCTGGCCTCGGCGATGTGAAGTACCTGAGTCCCCTTATCATGCTGGAATACTCATAAAAGTAGTTTTGGGGCCAGTTTCTTCGTTTCTAAAATGAGGATGACAGTGCCTGCCTCACCGAGTTGCTGTGAGGATGAACTGAAATGATACATGGAAATGCTTAGAATAGCTTCTGGAGGAGAAGGGCTCAGTAGTGAATGGTGACCACCATCATCACAGTCATTGCCATTGTCACCTCTACCATTGCCACCATCGCAACCTGATCACCGCCACGATTGTCGTACTCAGCACTACCACTGTCCTCCTCACCGCCATCGTCACCACCGCCATCATCATCATACCACCATCACCGTCCTTACTCACTCAGACCCCGACTGTCCTCATCATCCTCACCATTCTCACCACCCTCACCACCACGGCCACCGCCATCCTTGGGTAGATGGTTCTGGGCTGGGAATGAGGTACGGGAATCCTTAACACAGAGGATAGAGAGAATTCTCTAGTCCATCCCTTTCTTTTAGTCTTTTGGGACCTTGCCATAATCCTGCCCGTACTGGAAGAGAAAATGCCCTTGCCATCAACTTCTCCTGCTGAAGGAATGAAGGACAGGCCCCACTTATTGACCTTTTTGTTGTTACCCGCCATGCTTCCTGTCTGACTCCTTAGGACCTTGTAGTTGCAATCGTGGAATACAGTCTGTGTTTCCCCCACGGGTGTTCCATAGGACATTATTCCCAAAGATGTTAGATGAGGGCAAGGACAGTAGAAAAGGAGAAATATATTTTGGGAACACTACATTCTTTACCTCATTTTTCTAGATCCATAGTGCTTCTTAGTTATAGGAGGAACTCTGCAGACCTGAGAGGGCAGGTCTGAGAAATGCTGCCTGAAATAACTCGAATCGCTGGCCTGAGACTTTATAATTCACTTTATAATTCACTTCTCTTTATGGTAGCATGTATATGACTAGATTTCTGGACATAAGCTACAAAGACTAAAATGGCCTTGGACATGGGGAGGGGACAGTACACACATGGCTTGGCCCCACTGTTACTGGGATGGAAATGATGGTTTTTGTAGGCACCCATTATGTGGTATATGCCTTTCTGGGTTCTGGAGATATACCACTACTAACATCTATTTCCAGATTAGACATACAGGGTAACAGCTGCATCCTTCGCACCCCATCTGGAATGTCTCACAGGCACCTCACACTCATCTTCTCCTTCAAACCTGGTCTTCGTGCGACGCTCCTTAGACTGGATTTTAGCGAAGGAAGCGCGTCTGTCCTTTCACACAAGCCAGAAACCTGGAGGTCTATAGACCCCCTTCTCTCTGTCACTTCTCTTCTAACCATACCCAATTCTGCCGCAGAGGCTGTTGATGTGCCTGGGGACCTTCTCTCTTTCCCTATCCCACCGCTGCCCTAAAGCCACCATCATCTCCTGGGACGGCGTCCCAACGATTCCCTGGTGCTCCGTGTTGGCCATTTTCCCATACGTTTTCCACTCCCAGCTGAGACCGTTATCTCCAAAAGCAAACCCGTTCCGTCCGTTTCCTACTTGAAGCCTTTCATTGGCTCCTTGCCGCTCTTAGGATAAAGCAGGGCTTCTTACGGGGGCCCTGCCAGCCCGCGGGGCACAGCCCCCGCCCACTTCCCCTGCCAGCCCTGTCCCACCTCCCACCCCCATTTCTTTCAGACCCTTCTGTTCTTTATGCTCCCCTCCCCGCTGCCACACAGCTCTCTTGGCCCAGAATTCTCTTCCCTCCCCTCCCCTCCCCTCCCCCTTTTGCCAAATAACTGCTACGCGTCCTACGCGTCCTCCTACCCTGCCCTCCCTGACCGGCTCAGAGTCCTGCGCTTCTCCTTTGTAGCACCTGTCACCGTCCAAGTTTTATGTGCGCGTGAGTTTTCAGTTAAGGCCCAACTCCCCTCCCCAAGACCACAAGGTCTGTGAGGGCAGGGGCGGTGCCTATGCCCCCTCAATATTTCACTACGAAAAATTTCAGACAAAGTTAGAGGAATTTTACAGCGAACACCCATACACCCTCGACCTGGAGTTCACCTGCTTCTGACCCCACTACATCTCTGCCCTGCACAGGGCTGGTGTCTCGTAGGCACGCAATGAAACTTTGTTGAGTGAAAACGGTTCAATGTCCTTCCCCCTAGAAGGCGACAGAGATAAGGCGACGAGATATGTGTTCAGTCGTGTTCACGTCAGCGCTATCTGTGAGTATGGAAAACGGGAAACAACCTAAATGCCCACGATAAAAAAAAAATGTACAGGTAGTGCCTATTCTGTGCCAGATGCTATTCTAAGTACTTTACATATACCGATATTTTTCAGTCCTCACAACAGCCTTGCGGTGGGTATTCCTTATTATCCTCATTTTACAGGCAGGCAAACTGAGGCAGAGAGAAGGTAAGTTACTCGCCTAGAACCACATAGCTGTTTCCCCGGGAAGATGCTGTGGAAGTTACGCCCGAAACACAACGGCGATGACAACATCAAATGCTGGCAAGGATGTGGAGCATCGGGAACCCTCTCACTCACTGCTGGCGGCAATGCAAAATGGGGCAGGCCCTTTGGAAGACAGTTTGGTGCTTTCTCTCCAAACCAACCATCCTCTTACCACACGCTCCAGCAATCATACCCTCCGGGGTTTACTCAAAGGGGTAAATGGACGGCTAAACAGATTGTGGTACGTGCAGACAGTGGCGTATCATTCAGTGCTAAGAAGAGGTGAGCTAGCAAGTCATGAGAAGACACGGAGGGAACTTAAATGTAGATTAGAAAGAGAAAGAAGCCGATCTGAGAGGTGGTAGGATTCCAACTGCACGGCATTCTGGAAAAGGCAAAACCGTGGTAAAAAGGAGCTGGAGGCTGGGGCGTGGGGGAGGGACGGACAGGTGGAGAGCAGGGGATTTTGAAGGCAATGGAACTATCCTGCGTGCCCCGACGATGGTGGATACACGTCATGATACCCCTGTTCAAACCCTTAGAATGTGCGACACCGAGAGCGAACCCCAACTCAAAGCATGGAGGCTGGGTTTAGCACTGATGTGTCAGTGTGGGTTCCCCAGCTGTGACAAATGCACCACTCTGGTGGGGGATCCTGACGGCGGGAGGCGGGGACTGTGCAAGCCGGGGGGCAGGGGGCACACGGAAGTCTCTGTATGGTACTTTCCTCTCACTTCTGCTGTGAACCTAAAACTGCTCTATAAAATACATATATATAAAATGGTAGTTCCTTCTGAAAGGGAGGATTTAGCATAATTTTGATTTAGTTTTCCTTTTGCCTCTGTCACGTCTCATTTTTCTTCAGTAATCATGTCTCACTTGTTTTTTTTTCCCCCACCCCAGGAAAATCACTTCTCCAAGTCAGTCTGGAGAAGGGAGTTCTTGGCCACGTTCCTAAGAAGCCTTCCTCAACAGATGTCCCCTCGCAATAAGATTCAACGCGACATTTTAGAGTCATGCAACTATGGGAGGAAGAGAAAAAAAAAGGAAAAAGCGCCCGTCACCTGCGTCGGAGCTGGATAACTGGATCCCGACGTCCCCGAGGAGACGCTCCGTGTCCTCCAGCCAGGACAGCGCCAGGCGCAAGATGTCCAGTGTCACCTTCTGGAGCCCTGAAACGGGCGGGCTCACCCGAAGGCTCTGAAGCACGTCCACCTCCTTCTTCAGGTCCTTGCTACAGCAGGACATTTTCATGCAAGCCTGGCAAGACACGACACCATGAGGAGCCCAGACGCGCGCCAGAAACCAGCACCCGGATGGCCGCGCTCCCGACCCTGCCGTGAAACAGGCCGTGCCACGTGCTGGCCGCGCGGGGCGGGCTCCGTTGTATTTACCCCCCGTGTCGGGGCCGCTTTTGCCTTTGTTCGTGTGTTTGTTTGTTTGGACTCTTAATGTGGACTCTGGATGGTCAGAGAGACCCCGCCTTTAGGTCTCTGCAGTTCCAAAGTCAAATCGCCCAGGACCACGGGCTGAAACGAGAACCAGATTTGGGTGCTTCTGCACGTCAAACTCCCTGTGGAGATGAACAGAGGGGCTGGCCAGAGAGTGGGGTTTCCTGATTTGAAAGGGTGCTGACGGGCCCGCGTCTGCACAGACTCCCCAAATAGCAGCTGCTTATTTCCAGAGGAAGCAGACAGGGCTGTCTGCTCGATGGGCTCTGTGCCCGCGTGGGAGCCCTGGGGGTTCAGGCCGACTTCTGGTCCCAGTCTCCACCAGAGTCAAAAGCAAAAGGGGCAACAGACAGACAGACAGACAGACAGACAACAAAGACCACCAGGCTTTCCATCGCTGGGCAGAAAAAGAAGCTGCAAATAAAGAGTAGGAACATTTCTTTGGTTTCTCTGGAAATACTAGGGGGCTATTTTTTTTTTCCTGCTGGGGTCGGGGACTACCCCAAGTCAGTACTAGGAGTGTGTCGGGCGTCTTTCCCTTGGCCACACCAAGTTCACCTGGGGCTCTTTGTTTTCTATTCCCAAACAAGTTTCTCCAACAAGAGAAAAGGACAAAAAGAAAAAAGAGCAGAGCATTTCTGCCCCATCTGCTCCAAAAGCGCTGGGTAATTTCCCACACAAGCAGCACAAGAATGAGGTGAAAAGAGGGGCGCCTGGGTGGCTCAAGTCGGTTAAGCGTCTGACTTCAGCTCAGGT